GACCCCGACAATTCTCCCTGGAGCCGCCCAGCTGCGTGAGTGACAGCTGGCTCCGCCTATCTAGAGGCAGAGCCAGCTGTACACGCCCCCTCGGAGCGGGGGAATCTCTGCGGCAAGCCGTGAGTGGCAGTCACGGCCCTCTCCGGGGATAGATCGAGAAGTGAGCGAGCGCCGATATGTGTTCGCTCACCTCCCGATCTACTGAGCCGACCCGTGACAGTCTCATTGTCACAGGTCGGCTAGAACTATGAGGTGAGTGAAAATCACCCCCCCCCCCCATAGTTCAGAGTGGACTTTGTTCCAAGAAAGGCATTGGATAAAAATCACCATGTGCAAGAGAATGCATTTTAGATTGTAAGCTCTGTGGGTCAGGGCCCCCCTCACCATCTTGTCTTGATTTGTATTGGAACTGCAATGTGTTATATTCTAAAGTGCTGTGCAAGCTGTCAGCGCTCTATAAATCCTGTATTATAATACTAATGATGGATGGCGGGTGATCGGGACATGGCGCCGGGTCTCCCATGTGTGATTTTAATTGAGATAATTTATTTGAGTTCAGAAAACTGTCTTTTAATATCGGAGAATAAAAATGGATATTTTGTATTTATGTGTCGGCGATAACATGCCATAAATTTCCCTCTTCCTGTCGAGTGTTCATATTGCCTCTGTTGGGCACATGATGTATTTTACAGTTTAAACCTCCTCCGAATGGATCTGTATATACCGTATCTCTCATATCTTTGGTGGTGATCTATGATCGGGGGTTCCTTGTGCCTGAAACGCGTCAGCGGGTCCCCATTCATCTCCTATGTGACTATCTCATGAATCAATAAAGAAGTAGTGGGAATTTGCTGGTGTGCGGTCATCCAATTTCTACATCATAGGGATTGTCAGCAATGAGCTGCATGATCACCCAGGTGCACTAACATGGAGTGGCGCCAGGTTGTACCCCTCTGGGGGTCAGTTTCTGGGTCACCTACTATGGTTATTATCAGAGGCTATGGCTTCCCCTGCTGTATTTGTATTTTTATTCTATAGAGAATGTGTCAGGGAACCAGGGGTACCGCTCCTCAGCGGGCACACCAGCGCGGGCACAAGGCACGGGACTCACCTCCTCCTGGCAGGACACCGGGTGCCGGGATTGCCGCGCGCGCCTGCGTGGGGGCACAAGCGTAGCACTTTCAGGCGCTAGTCAGGCTGGGGGAGGTCCCCAGCACTCACCACTTGCCCCATCAGCCCTGCGATTGGCTCCTGACTGAGGATGCTTCCTGGTTGCCTCGGCAGCCAGGGGGCGGTCCTGGGCTCCCCCTGTGTATATAAAGCCGGTCAGAGCCTTGACTCATTGCTGAGTTATTCTACCTCATGGTGATCATCCAGCTCCCGTGTGTCAATCTGTTTCCTGAGACTTGCCTGACCTCCCGTTTTGCCGACCATTTCGCCTGTCCTCTCGCCCCTTGAACCTCGCCGCCTTCCCCCGACGAGGACCTGGACTCGACTACTCTTTTTGGATTTTCCTCTGGTACTTCGATCTCTGACCCTGTTACCGTCCCTGCCAAGGAGTTCCACCTACGGCCCAGCCGTAAATCCCGACACACATCCCGACAGAATGTAACAGGAGGATCTGAAACACCCCAAAGTAGATGAAAACAACTTTTCGAGATGCAGACCAGGAACTGGTCGGGAGCTCTCCACTGGAGTCTACCAAGAGATAGCAGAGTGTTGTGTGACTCAACCCACCCGACTCCATCTTATCTGAAATATAACTTTCTGACTCATTTGATCTATTTGTCTAGTTTTGGGCTGATAGATAGTAGAGGTTCCTCACATGCCTCTAGAACCTTGGTTGTCAACTGGTGGGTCGTGACCCGAAAGTGGGTCGCGACCCTGTGTTCAGTGGGTCGCCACATGCCTTCCACTTTTCTAGGTGAGAGGCTCCTCTGCCTCCCCCTGGCATAACACTGTGTCAGTTCTGGCGCCGAACAGCCATTCAAAATATGCTGCCCAGTGCCGAGTGTCGGCTTGAAGTGGGGTGGGCTGGGGTTATGGCCATGAGGGAGCTCCATTCATACGTGCATTCCCTACAGCACCCTTGCGTGTCCAGTAGAGGTTCCTGGACCGGAGTGATGTCACATGCTGGCTCCTGGCACCTCTACAGGTGATGCACATATGGATGGTTTGGGAGTGCATTGCATTGCCATTAATTTGAATGGCATCCCGAATGCATCTCCCACCCACAGTTCTATCACCCGCATCGGAGCGTGAGGTACCACATGCCATGCGTTCCATTGCAGTTCAACTTGGGTCACGACTTAATGACCAAGGACAACTGTGGGTCCTGAGGTTACACAGGTTGAGAGCCACTGCCCTAGAATCCTGGACTAGGATACGTAGCTATTTCATGGATCAATGAAGGAGTGGTTGGAATTCAATAGCTTGTTGGATTCAGGTCAGGAGGACCAATGGGATCATGGCGGCTCCTGGGACAACATCAAGGTCTACTTCCGAATCCACCAATCCACATGCTCTTTGTATACTCTGGTACAGAAGTTCCCTATGACAATAACAGGCCAGGGACCTACAAACCGTCCCGTTATGTCATTAAGTCTGAATATACTGAACATACCTGGACGAAGACGGTGAAGAGGATGACCACAGTGGTGGCTGCGATGAAAAGCTTTTTCTGCGGGAAGTCCGGAAGAAGGAAGACCAATGAGAAGCAGATGGCGCCACGAAGACCACCATAGGAGATGATGAACTGATCCTTCACCGTGATGGAGGTCAGGGAGAGCTTATTCAAGATGCTCGTCAGCACCACAACACCTGAAACACACGTATTATATC